GCAGCTTTGACTGTTTCCCTTCTGACTCAATGCCAGCTGCTTCTGCAGGCTATATGTGGGCTACCACCTTCTCCAAGACCCTAGAATAGAAGAGAAGTTGAAACACAGTTTCCTTTCCTGGAGGGCTTCCTGCCTCTGGGTTTCTATGCCAAGCTTTAAACAGACATAAACCTAGGAAAGATTTTGTACGGAAAATGGTAAAGATAAAGGATGCAAGTTCTGCCCTGTTACATCATGGTACATTGAGAATAGCTCTGCTGCAAGAAGGGATTTGTGGTTGTATCATAAAGAGCAAGATTTGCCCATAACCCTGTCTGTGTGCAAGCACAGCAAAGTTACTCTGTGCCCCTAGGAACTAGCTTCTGTGGTAACACCTCAGGAGAAAAAGATGGGTATGTTTGACTGTATCTGTGCTTGACATACCCTCTTCAGAATGTGAATTTAGCATGAATAAGCAGTAAACCAAGATTTTTTTCCAAGCAAGCTAGCATCCATCTAGTCCTAAATCCTACACAGCTTCCTTTGGGAGTGAATCCTTTTTCCCTCTTGCCCTCCAAAAAATAGCAGGAAGCTGTTCTGTCATTTGTGTCTGCCTGTAGGAAATCAGCATGTGGAAACCCAGCAAGAGCCGTTGTGGCAAAATGAGAAGATAATTATTTTAGATGACTTTCTAAGTTGTTTAAATTACCCACTCTCTTACCCAGGTACTCTCATACACCAAGATGCATGTGCCCAAGTGGCCTATCCAGGATTGCTGTGTGTGTGACATGAAGGACGAGGTAGGTCCCCTGTTAAGTCTTCACTACATACCTTGGGTTCCTTTTGACTGGTGATGACAAACTGGGTTTGACCAGGTCTTTTACATGCTTTAGGAGTCAGCAGTTGTAATGAGGTGATACTTTTGCTTCAGAAGCTTGCTTGCTTCAGCCTCCAAGAGTCTTAGGCAAGGTTGCTGTCTGTTGTCTTGTTTACTCATTTTGGGTATCTGTATGGCTACAAATCTGCCTCTCTGTTGGATAACAGGAAGAGAAATAACAAATACAACCCTTTTTGTCATCCTCCTGCTACCAGAGCTCAGGTCTTTTGCTGATTAATCATCTACACTGTGGCCCTATCCAGTCTAGTCTTGATGACAACACCATACCCCTCAGTGTTTACCAGTTTTATGGCTATCAGTCAGGTCCTTGGATATCAATACAGCTCATCCCTGCAACCCTTGTTCTATTATTTTTTTCTGCTGCTTTCATACTGTGATTCGTATTTCATTCATGACAGTCCTAGTACTTGTGTTACAAATCTCTACATGCTGGCCAACAAACCCTATTAGCCTAAAGATGGTCTGATGGGGCTCCATGGGTTAACAGAGTTTTATGCAAGTTTAATCTGGGCTAACAGAGTTTTATGCAAGTTATCCAAAGCCTGCAATACTTGCCCTGCCACAACAGTTAGGTTCGTCACCTGGAAATCTCCCTTCTCTGTTCCACCACCAGCCTGGGTCTTCAACACGAACAATTTTAGTCTGTCCTTCTGTGTTTGAATGAGGGATTGCTCTTTCCAGGCCTTAAAATAGGGAGAGACTTTCAAGAGATTTCAAAATGGAACTTAGGACCCTAAGTCATCATGCATTTTTGAAAGATGTGCTCTGCACTCATATCATGTTACTGCTCAGCTGCGTGGCTTTTCCTAGACTATCTGAAAGTGGATCCGTACTGCTGTGTTCCAAAGGGGGTTATTTTAACATTGTACTAAAATACTGACAATGAAAACTTGTTACTTTAATTAGGCAGTAAGCACTGTTATCCTGGGTCTTAGATTTTGAGTAAGCAGAGGTTGATTGCTGAAGTAAACTTTAACCATTTTGGAGTTCACATGATTTATTTTACTGCAAATGATATTGGTGTCTCTCTTGATGCCTTCCAAATTTCACTGGGCACATGAAGCCAGGACAACCTGTTATCTGAAAATCAAAAGGCTACTCTCACTGAGTTTTCTGGAAACAGCTACTTCATGGGCCAAGAGGACAAGTTTAACCAGAATGAGACATCTTTTAGAGGAGACAAGGCTTGCCTAATTGAATCAGAAGCTCCAGAATTTACATGGCAGTTCATCTTCAGACCACTTTGCTGATACGCAGAAACTCAGCAACCTGCTGGCCCCAGATCAGACTACAGAATGGTTTAAGGCTCATTTCAGCTCCAATGCAGAATTGCTGAGCAGTACAAGACTACAGTAGACACTTCATCTCCCAGCTGCACACCATTTGGTCTTAGGCCAGATGCCAAGAGTCTTGGTCTTATGAGGGCCAGATGTCCCAGTGAAATCACAATTTTTAGCTATTTGTTTTGGTTTCCAGATCAAGCAAGAGAAGTCCTGATTTTTGCAAGCTAGCAATCTGGCCACCCTTTCCATACAGTATACTGTCATTTCCACTTGCTCAGTGAGAAACTGCAGGTGGGAGGCTGTCGCCTGGTCTAGCTACCCTGGCCCACCACAGCTCTCAGCAGTCACTTTCCAGCTGGGCTGACTAAAACCCAAAGCAATGCATCCCATAGACTTGGCAGAATTTATCCCAGTTTTTTGTACTATCATCTAGTATTCACTCTAGGATTGAGAGTACCGGCATGCAATGGGGTGCATCCCACAAAGTGTTCCATTGACTTGGGCCATCAGAATAGCTTATTAGGAATCTGCAGTGGCAGATGTGCCAGCACAAGTTACAGAAGCTCTTTTAGCCCATGCCTTGGCTTTACTATGAGAAACCTGACAAAAGAGACACAAAGGTGCAGAAGTGATCAAAAGCCAATGACAGAAAGCCAGCCCTGCACCCTCCTCTCTCAACTCATGAAATCACTAAATGCTGTTTTGCCTGCTGATTGGCAGCTGTATTCTCATTTCCCTCCTAGGACACTGATCATGAGCAAACTGCAAAATTACACTTGAAGCGTTCTCTAGGGGAAAAAAAGATCAATTGGAAAGAAAATATTACAATGCATATTTTACAGACAGTGATGGCTCTGAGATTAGGCAATGTTTCTAGGAGTCACATGCATTGGGAATTGGCAAGTCTTCAGACTGCAGCGTAAGACAACCTAGGAAATCAGTGCTCCATCCCTATAACAGTGACCCTGGGCTTTGTTTCCCACCAGTGCTGGCCTCTCATAAAGACTGCAGCTATGCTGAGGGGATGTAAAATACTAGTATTATTCCTTGCTAGAAATTATATATGCACTTTGCATAGCTGAAAAATCATGAGGTGAACTAGAAGGCAGGAGAGAAAAGGGCCTGAAGATTTTCATTGCGAGCAAAAGGCAAAAGATATTCTGAGTGCTGCTTCAGCAAAGGCAGGGAGGCTTTGAAACGCCACCTGGCACAAGCCAGGGTCTTGTCCAGTGGTTCCCAATCTTTTTATAGCTGAGCGTCTCTCAAGAGAATAATCAGTATTTCATGCGTCACTAAATCTAACTGCTCACCTGCCTCAGGGCTGCTATCGCCTCCCCTTCACTCATGGTGTTCCTGCTGGAGTGTCTGCAGTATCCAAGGCCTCATATTACACCCCTGTTAATGTGAAACTGTATGTCACGTCGGGTGTGCTCAGTTCAATTACACTTCCAGGTACACTCCTTATTAATGTGCAGGCATCTCAAATGACACAGACAACACAAGTTCTGTGCTGTGAGAAGCTGACAGACATAATGGCAAAAATATTTGCATAAATCTCAGCCGTTTTCCTCCCACTAATGTGTTAATAAGTCCCATGAAACTAGCTAAGATAAAAGTCTAATCTGTCCAGCTCCAAAGAAGCTGAAACAGCATCGGTGCAAAATGAGGGGAAACAAGACAGTCTGAGCAAATGGAAGGAGAGGAAAATTAAGATGCTCATAGATTATTACAAAAAGAGACAGCATTTGGGCTTGAGGAAAAGAGACAGTGAAACAGTAGGGAGGTGTGGCCATTTCCCTTTTTCCTCTTAACGCATTACCTAAGCCCTTGTCTTGTTTGCAAGACAATTGCAAACACAAATACACTTGCACCCCTGCGAGAGGCACGCACCCTCCCCAAATAAATGTGATCATTTGGAAGCCACCTCAATGAAAATCATCAGTACTTAAGAACATATCAATGTCCCCAGCTACATGTAACTGCAAGATCAATGCTCCAGCCTGCATGCCCTGCTCAGCAGAATTGTCGCTACAAGCAGCAGAAATGTGCTTGCATAAAAACAGGAGGAGCAAGACCTGGGGCTTCCTCTCCCTTTAACATGGCTAACCTCTCTGTTAACCAGCTGGGAGCACTCCTTTCAGGGGTACAAGCAAGCTGTTAGTGTCTGGGCTGCTATAGTAAGAGGTGCATTGGATTTGCTGGGTATATACAAAAAGAGCAATGGCCACTTCATCTAATTCTCCCCAAATATTGAGCTGCCCTGACGTACACCCAGTGATCATGCCACCAAGGAAGTGACTGCAAAGTTTTCATTGCTCACTGATGAGGTCCATAACTGTTTTTACACCTTCTTCTCTAAATAAGGAAGCTGCCTGTGAGACCTCCGACTGCCCAACCAATTTGACTCCTTTGCTTTCAAGAGCCAATGAAACCCCACTCCTGCCTCCGGTCTTGGGTGACAGCATTCATCAAACCTCAGCCAGCCCGGGAGGACAGCAGGTTAGTGTTACAGCCGTGGCAGGCTTACCTTTGGCAAGCTGTTGATGTCAGAGTGATGATGTGGGGAGGGACAGCCTCTGCACTATAAAGATGGGTCAATCAAATATAATTGAGGATGCCCACCGGAGAGCAGGATCTACAAAACATGGTCCCCACCAGTTTGAGTCCTGCTGGCCTGTCTCTGCTTCCAACCCAACTGCTATCAGGCTTTAGTTTCATGTCAGCAATCTCTATTTGCTTTCCAAAAATAAGCCTCTGCCACCATGCTGAAGGGAGAAAAACAAGAAGGGCGGTATTTTTAGGGCCATTAATTCTGACCACGTGCCCAGGAGGTGAACCGGATGGCCACTGCACAAAGACTTCTCATCACTATGTCCTGCGAAGCCAGCGTTCACCGGACGTTGCCTGCTTTCGTTCTCCTGGGTTTTCTAGCTGGGATTGCTTCAACACATCCAGTTGTAAGCAGAACTAATGGCACATTGCTGGAAAGAGGATGGCAATCTCTGTTGTCCAGGTCCATTGCTGGGATGTCAGGGGAGAAGTCAGATGTGAACTGGGAGAGTGACTATTTGCTAGGAATCAAGAGGCAGCGGAGGCTTTACTGCAACGTGGGCATCGGGTTTCACCTTCAAATCCTCCCAGACGGAAGGATAAGCGGAGTTCACAATGAAAACCAATACAGTGAGTTGCATCCAGAAATGAAATAGAATAGATGTCACTTAATTGCTGTGAACTCTCGTAATTACCCTTCATAGAATGCAAATGTTATTACTTGATATTATTAATCTGTGCTACATCTGTTGCCTTTTAAAAGTCTCTGGGATCAATAAACATTAGAACCCTCCAGGCTGAAACATGTTAGAAATACTTAGACAAAATTAGATACAACTTATTTTTACTCTGCTTTACTGCACAGATGAGAAAAGACAAACCAGGTTGAAAACTGTCTCTCTGCTGCATTTGCTCACTCCTCACCTTCTCATTTGCCTTTTGAATTCTGGAGGTTGTCGCTGAGCTTAGAGTGCCAAAGCATGATTTTTGAATCCTAGCCGACTAGTACTTTTGGGACACTCAGTCACAGAAGGGGCTTGCTCTTCCTGGTTTGCTTGTTCTTATGGGTGCTGTTCTGTTACCATAAGATTAAAGAAAAGCATTAGCCCTATGGATCTGAATTTCCTGTAGAGGGCAGTTGCTAAAATCTTTTGCAGCTAAGATATCGTGGGGGGCTTCAAAATGCAAGCCACACTTCTCTAAAGCTCAATAACAAACACTCTGTAATTATAGCATTTTAGATAAAAATAATTTACTTATTAGAAAGCCCAAGAGTGTGACATATCAAGAGAGTTTGATAGAATGAAAGGATTATACAGCATGTGACTACAATTCCAGAATAATTATTTTAAAATCCTACAGCATGTAGGAAAAAACAAGATCTTCTCTCTGTATTTCTATCTTGCTGGACTAGGGAGGTAACTCTAATAAAGCAAATATGACAAGTTCATTAAAGTTTTAAAATAAATAAATTGTATCTGAATTGCTTTTGATTAGCTCTAAATTCTGTGATAACACTTCTATTGAACTTCTTATTTTTTAGGTCTCTTTGAAATATCCACTGTAGAGAGAGGTGTTGTTAGCCTGTTTGGTGTGAAAAGTGCTCTCTTCATTGCAATGAACAACAAGGGGAAGTTATATGGAACAGTGAGTACAAGTGCAAATAGTTTTTCAAGGCTTAAACAGAGGCTGCAAAGGTTTGGTGTTTTTTTTTCCTCCTGGAAATTTCTGATTACAAGCAGAGAAAATAGCCTTTCAATTACAGGGAGCCTGCCCAGGCTGGTGTCATCAGTGTTATTTAATGCAACAAACAGCATGGCTGTTAGAGGTCTGTTATTTTAAAGGTTTCCAATAAGATTGTACCAGGAGCACCCTAGGAAAATGAATGTATTCTGCAAATAGTACGGATTAATTAGATGGCTTCTTCTAAGGGCTCAGCACTGCAAACACGTTCTAGTAGGGCTGAACTCTGTTGATTCCCTTTTGCATTGCATTGTATGTAAAGCAAAAGGGTGTGCTCTGCAAAAACCCCTAGGAAGGAAAGCATGTGTGTGTGTATGTGATTGCATGCGTATGTGTGTGCGTACAGGTGTGTGTAGGAGAGGTACAATTAGAGCTATCTATACTAGCTACCGTTAGTAACATCATGACCACATGCCTCCCCCTACCAAAACCAACCACACCATGAAGAATAAATAGGAAGTCTACCCTACAGAGTCAACATATGCGTCGGGGGTTATTTTAATGACCAATTTTGTGAGATCAGTCCCAGAGAAAACAGTAAGAGCTATTAACAATGGTATGCAAGTCATACTGAAACACCATCAGCATCGTCCTTATCTAAAAAGTGCTAGCTATGCCATCTAAATGCAATTTAATCTCTGAGGCTTGAGCAAGGCATCTCCAGTCCCAACATTCAGCAGAAAAAGCGCTTGTTAGGAAGCGTGTTTCAAAGAGGCTGTCTCTGGGCAATAGGCAAAAGCAGTCCCTCTTGAAGTAATGAATGGCACTGATTGCATTCATCTCTGTTGTCAAGAAACAACAAAGTCATTTTCTTTGAAACAGCTGTAATTTCAACAAAGCCTTTCAGCTGCTTAATAAAATACCAAATGTTGTGAAGGACCCATAGCCATTACTAATCTGACTGATTCCTTCTCACACAGATAATGACAGTGGGACATTTTAAGGTTCCACTCCAGGAATATTCTTACAATCATGTCTGATTTCAAGCACCTAAACAGTGCTGCAAGCCCAACTGCTTTGCTTGACTAGCTCTTTCTAAAGAAATGCAGGGTCTGACTTCAGAGCTCCCTTTGATTTTTTCCCCCGGTTTCAATCCACTCTTGTTTATTTTCAAAGGTATTTTTAAAAGCTGTAAGAGATGTCCATTTTCCCTTGCACAGTGCAGTGCCCGAAGTTGAAGTCTTACAAGATTTGAATGGTGTTATTACACAGATGTCCAAATAGAACAGCACTGGTGGTGTCTCATGTGCCAGACATTTGATGTTGGGGAATTGTTCTGCTTTCTCTTTTAATTTCCTTGCTGCTCTGCATTTGTCTCCTGCTTGTCCTTGCACCTCTTCTCCCAAATAACTCCCTCTCCTTGGATTTACGTGATGTGACATGAAGAAAAATAAAACTGTTTTCCCAGCTTAGAACCTTCTGCATATCTCACTAGCAGTCAAATATAATATCACTAATGATTTAACAACAGAAAAGATTTAGTGCTACTCTGAGGTCTTATTCAAATGCCTTATTCCAGCAAATAGTTCTCCCTGGCCATTGCTGTTTGTAAGAGAACTGAAAGTTTTGACAGCCAGCATATCATTCTTTTATAAATTACAGGACCTCTTGCAGAATGGAGGTGTGAAATAAAGCTACATCATTTGGGCAAAAGGGCATGACGCTGACAGAAATTATTGCTTGCAAATAAAATGAAGAAATCCATGATTTATGACAAATTAACTTGATCTGTCACAGGAAGTACACAGTCCATTATCTGGACAGGTGGCATCTGAGTTCATCTGACACCAAATTAGCACTGAGGAGGGAGATTTATTGTTGGATGCCGTCACTGTGGCACCACCTGTTGCGCACTACAACAAGTTTTTCTGTAAAAATGCTAGTAAGAAGAATGACTTAAGTCTTCATGAAATATTTATTTTACCTGCTTTGTTCTTCCCCCACCCCTTCCTATTCTTTAGGCTGTTTTCCAAGATGAGTGCAAATTCAGAGAAACCTTGCTGCCCAATAACTACAATGCATATGAATCAAATGCTTACAGTGGGGCTTACATAGCACTCAGCAAACATGGGAGAGTGAAGAGAGGAAACAAGGTTTCTCCTGCTATGACTGTGACCCACTTTTTACCAAGAATATGAACATGAGCAAAGCAGAAGATTAAATCCCAGGAAAAACTGTTTCATTTTGCACATGGGAATAATCTCCCAGGTAAAGTATTTATACTGTTCATTGAAAAAAATCTATATATGTATGTGTATATTTGGATAAAAATATTTGTACTAGATTCATCACATAGCATATGTACTACGATGCTGCTTCTCTTCTACTCTGTACAACTTTTACATGGCTGTGTGCCTCCTTTGGTGCTGAACAGAGAAAAGTGCAAGCTGGAGTGCAAAGGAAGTATTTAGAAGACATAGAATGGCTGTGGGTAATCAACTAATCAATCATAGTTTATTTACTCAATAATATCAATTACCTCAGATAATAACCTTTCATAGTGAGCCGTTTACATATCATGGGCCAAATCATCAGATGACTTTGCTTCACCAGAGCTACAAGCAGTTCACTCCATCTGAATATCTGCCTGCACCTCCCTTTCTACACACCGTGTCCTGTCTTGCAAAGTCCTCAATCTATTTTGACCATTAGGGTGCCAATTCCACAACTGTTTCTACACACGCAAACTGTCTACCCTCAGAGCCCCTCTGTCTCTGAAGGGATTCTCCAGGGTCTCCTCACATGGACTTGTTGGCAAAATGAAGACCTACAATCAATTTCCCTTAGGAAGGGCCACAGGATAAATCACAGATGGGTCCCAAATGCAAAATATATTTGGAGCTGAGGATTTTGAATGGCATTTTGTGAGCTTAGTTTAGACTCACCTCAAATATAGATGTGTACATCTTTAACATAAATACATGTCTATACATAGACATGGGATGTGTGAGTGTGTATCTGTGTAATTACAGACTTTTAATGAATCAATCATCCCAGTCTCTAGATGCCCAGGTGCCTTTATATGCATACACACATAAAAGAACATAAATACTTAAAGGCACTGTATTTCATTTAGGCTGAACCTTGTTAATTTCTAAGAACTAGAACTGGTCTGCAGGATGCATTTTATGAAATGTAAGAAATTCATGAAAGCTTCCAGCAAAGGGTGATTTTAGAAAACTTCTCTGTTTTGAATTTTCTTCTATTTACTCCTTTACATATATTTTGTTCTTCTCTACCATACCTCACTGAGGTATGAAGGACAGAGGAAGAAAGAGGCTATATAAGCATGCCTTCCTGGGTTGGGACAGAGAAATTTGTGCCATAATTCCAATTTCTGTCACTGCAAAACATCAGTTTCAAAGACAACACGGCAAGCTGTATGAAATACTCTCCAAAGCTCTCCTAGAAGCCATACAAATGGTGCATAACTTTGCCTTACTATTTTGACAACCTTTTTCCAGATCGCCAATGAAGCTACATTCTCTGTGTCTCTGAAAGAGTATTTTAAGAGGCCCTAAGTCAATAGTCACTATAAATGTCAGTTACCAGAAGCCTTGGGATTCCAGCATTGATGGCGTGCTCCTAAATTTGAAACTAGATTCAATGCAATGTCAGAGCATGAGCATTTTCAGCATAGATGGACCATGCTGCTGCAGAAGTGAACATCTGAGTGCAAGATAATCTCCCACGTCCAGCCAAAATGTGGCTATGTCCAGCCTTGACATGCCATTCTATTTGCAGGGGGTGTCTATTCATGATGAATTTGAGCCTTCTGACATGCATGAAAAACACTGTCAGGGCCAGATCCTCAGTTGGAGTAAACCAGCCTAGTAAGACTACCAGTTTATAGCTGCAGAAGATTTGGCCCAAAGACCTCACCTACAAGGATGTATCTACAGCCACCCTTTCTGAAAAATTGTCAAGACAATTCTTTTGTGAACAAGATACAGTTTTCCAGCTCCTTTTGTGTGACTTATACTTGAATTTATTTTGCTCAAATATAAGTGGTGATCACAGTGTAAATGAAGAGAAAAAAGAATAGAATACTGCTTACAGTACATGAACGGGACACTTTGGATATGGTGAAGGAAAGGAGTTACTCTTCATTTTCTGATCTTGCAGTATGTAGAGAGAAGACAAGTTGGCATGCTTTGTTCATCCACAATGTGTGCAGCAGTTTGCTTTGGACAAATGTGCATTTTAAGAGAAAAAGCAGGATGCTTTGAATGGGGAGAGTGGGTCAGAGAAAAGTTTGGAGGATATCAGACAGTTATGTTGACCTAGAGTCCCTAGAGGTACAGATAGAAAGACTACAGCTGTGCTGAAATACATAGCTGGCAACCTGTATCCTTGTGTTATATTCCTAATTGTCTTTGAAATTAAGTTTGAAGAAGGATGGAAGAGTATGTGGATGTAGAAGAAATCATAGTTTGAATGCTGACACATAAGTTTGTTTCTGATTACAGCTTAAACCAGTGTCCTTAGGATAGGATGAAGTCTGTTCCCTCTTAAACCAGTGCAGTCTAGAGTAATTTGCAGTTGCCAGTACTGATAAATAATGGGATAGCTGGCATAAAAGGTGAGAATCAGACTCACTGACTCCATTTTGCACATACTGGTCAACAGCAAGAACAAATGGTAGACCAGGTCACAAGAAGTCTGTTTGGACGTAGCCTGCTGGGCTGAGCTTGTTCTTAAGAACTGCAGACCCTTGCGGATGCGGTTTTGGTGGGCATTTAGAAAGCCCCACCAGTCACTCTGCTGAGTTACTCTTTACACAACTGCTTTTTCCTTATTACATATCAGTGTCAGCCAGATCAGCATTGAAGTCAACCCTGAAATCAAAAAAGGTCTCCCAGTGCCAGGAATCCTGACTAATATGAAAGTGAATCACATCATTGTCAGACGTGACAATGAAAGATGCCATTGTCAGGAGTGATAACTGTGGCAGGAAACCCCTCCAGCACAAACAGTGCAGTACTGAACTGTTGTGGAAGTTTAGACTAGTTGGATGATACTTTGACAGAGGTGCTTCTTAAGTGAATGCATGGCTACTTTCAAGAGAGGAGTTAAGGCATGTGTTGACACATTGCTGCGGGTGTGCAAGCAGTCTAGGGGCAGCTCACGGAAGCAGAATGCACCGTGGCAGTGTTCAAGAAGTTATGCAACTTGCCTGGGAAATGGCCTGATCCTGTTCTGCCTCGTGCTTGATCAGCTAAATTCCACCTCCTCCCGCTCAGGCCCTTATTACCTGCAGGGGAGGGGGATTTAGGAAGACCACCACTCATTTTACACAGCCCAGGATAAATTTGTTGAGTTGGCACAGAGGTAAAAAAAAAACCCAAAACAAACCACTTGTAAGCTGAATGTACATGATACAGAGGCTATGGAGAGAATGTGGGCATAGTCTGGCAAACTCTCAAACAACGCTTTCTTCAAAAGAATAGTCCCATGGATACATGACTACATAAAAACTCATGACAGTAAAGGAGTTTCCCAAATCAGGGCCAAATCAGGAACCTATTACTAACAATTCTTGCAGTGGTCCTCTTCAAGGCATATCTCATCTTGGGCTACAAGTTTTGAAAGCATTGCTGTGAATGCCCCACACCAGCCTGTCTTACCCATATTTTCCACGTGGGATTCTCCTGTGGAGTTGACACCTATTTTCAAGGTTTCTTCTTCCATAGGCAAATCCCATAATAATTTAAGACCTAATCCACCTCTGTTAGAAAACAGTCTTGACTGGAACTGAATCATGTTCTTAAATAATCTGATTTTCCCCAACCATGCAGAGATGCAGACACACACATAGTGGAAAAGCAGAGTAATTTTTGTATACCTCACTGACTATTTCAATTCCAAGATTTTATTTTGCACAGTAAAATGGTGCCAAAGTTCTCACGTTATCTTTTTTTTCACTAAAATATACCTCATATTCTGACTCCATATGGACTCACAATTGAGACTGTAAATTTGCAAGAAACACAAAACTGTCCAATCGTTTGTGAAATTGCTTCTATTTTTATATGTATGTGCTGCGCACAATAGTTTAATGTATTCATAAAATAAACTTTTATACATTTTTGGTAGTGTTTTGACTCCAAATCCCTCTTAACATTTGGTTTTTTCCTTGCTTCAGAGCTGCTCTATTAATTCCCCACACACACAGTTTTTATCCATCTCTAGAACCAGAGGATGTATTGGTGCACTTAAAATTGTGGTAGACTTTTGTGTTCTTCAGACTTCTTGCCTGGGAAGTCATAAGAGAGTTGTGCTTGTTGTAGAGAACCTGGGAGTTTCACAGAAGAGAAGGAAAGTGCAATGTGATTAAAGACGAGCTGTCATAGTCACCTGTCTAAATTCCAACACTTTTTACCTGGGGAGGTTCTAGTGCTGCTCTCCTGTTGCTAGTGCTCTTCAGTGCATAACTGGCCATGCATATGCCTTACTTCATTAAATAAGAAAGGCTTTTTTTTTTAAATGGCATTTTCTTCTTGCCCGGGACTTGGGAGAGCAGCTTCCTGCAGCCATCACTGAAGGGTTTTGCCTTACTATGCCTCAAATTTGGGTATTTTGGAAACACTGCTACATTTCAGTGATTTGGTAAGTTTTGCTCTCCCTTTCTCCACTCCCAGGTTGTCATTTAATTAGTCCTTCAGTTAGTTAAATGATTACAGACCTCTCCCAGCCTGGGGACACAGACTAAGGTATTAGAAACCAATAGCTGGGAGTGTGTCACCTGCTTTTTGGTTCAAGTGCACTGTTTAATCCATACCAGCATGATATCGCAGAGCGGACAAGTGTCCAAAGCCCTGATTGCTGGCAGCCCTTCTCAGGAGCGTAAGAACATCTGCAGCACCATGCTGGCTAAACGCCATTCTCTGCATTTGTGTTTCAGCTGCCTACGTTCCCCCATAATAACTCCCTTTGCTTACAAGTCGTAGTAAACCCTTGCGTGTCATTGCCTTGCGTATGTGCCACATTTCCTCTGAGAGAGGACTATGTTTCACTGGTGGGTTAAGAAATGCTTCTGTCTGCTATAGAAGTGCCTTGTTTACAGCTTCGAAGGCCAGTCACTGGAGGTGGAATTGGAAACGGGAGAAGATACACAGCCCACAGGCAGTGACTGGAA